ATAGAGCGCTCACCTTGAGCTGAAGAGCTCAGGTACAGCGACAGGCCCAGAGTTCAAGCCTCACAACCAACAACAACAACAACAACAACAAAAAAAAAATCTCAGAAAGTGCAGTGATTTGTTCCTTACATTTACTGAACAACAAAAATTTGCTATTCTGTATTCTTACCACATTTTATTATTTATTTATTTATTTATTTTGTCGGTCGTGGGACTTGAACTCTGGGCTTGGGCGCTGTCCCTGTGCTCTTCAGCTCAAGGGGAGCGCTCTACCGCTTGAGCCACAGCACCACTTCCTCCTACCACATTTTATACACTACCTTCATTCTAAACAATGCAAGTAAGAAAAGTTTTTAGCCTATTATAATATACATACCTTCACAGGCCAAAAATGAAATCTCTGAATGCGTACCTTCCCTAACACAGGACAGGAAGCTGACTGGAACTCACAGTAACTGCCTCCAGACTTTGCTAACTCCCAACATGCCACACACATCACCAGGAAACTTTCAGAAACAATCAGCACATATTATTACTGGAATGAACTTTCAAAAATGAAATCCTATACCCTTAGGGAAGGAATACAAGGGCACAATGCCTATGTGCCTCTGATATAAAATAATATTTATGAAATGAACTCTAGGAAATAGAAATGGGTTTTTTTTATTTTTTTTCCTTTTCTTTTTGTTTTGTTTGTTTGTTTATCTGTATTTGGGAGGGTAAGGGGGAAGCCACAGAAATGGAGGGGCAAAGGGTGAACTATACAACTAGTAGGTGGAGATGGGAGGGAAAAACTAGGAAGGAGTGAGGGAAGGGGTGAATTGTCCAAAAAGAAATGTACTCATTACCTAACTTAAGTAACTGTAACTCCTCTGTACATCACCTTTATAGTATTCAAAAAATTAACATTAAGAAAAATGAACTCCTAACTTCTGTTGAGAGTTGCACAAGGCAATAAATTTTTTTAAGAAAACACTAGGGGGATGGGAATGTGGCTTAGTGGTAGAGTGTCTACCTAGCATGCATGAAGCCCTGGGTTCAATTCCTCAGTACCACATAAACAGAAAAAGCTAGAAGTAGCACTGTGGCTCAACTGGTAGAGTACTAGACTTGAGCAAATGAAGCTCAAGGACAGTGCTCAGACCCTGAATTCAAGACCCAGGGCTAGCAAAAAACAAAAACAAAAACACCATTGGGAATACTTGTATTTTTCTATAAGGAACCAACTAAAGCACATCTAAAGACAACTTCAAAGTATAGTTTAAATCTAATCGACTCTATTTCAAACAGTGAGACCATTAAGTGCAATACAATGAAGAAAAACTATATATCTGTCTTAGCTGCTTTGGCTGATAAAAACAACTTAATTTTATCTGCAGAAGTTTACGTTAGTAAGCCTGCCTTACTCACAGATAGATGTTACATAGTTTTGACCAAGTATGGTTAAAAATATAGATTTCTAAAACAAATAAAAAGTTCATGTGAGCTGGGCACTGGTGGTTCATGCCTATAATCCTAGCTACTTAGCAGGCTTAGATCTGAAGATCATAGTTGAAAACCAGCCTGAGAAGTCCATGAAACTCATCTCTAATTCACCACCAGAAAACCAGAAGTGGCTCTGAGGCTCAAAGTGATAGAGCACTAGCCTTGAGCAAAAAAGAACTCAGAGACAGTACCTGGGCCCTGAGTTCAAGCCCCAGGACCAGAAAAAAAAAAAAGTTCAAAAGAAAAAAGAATTCTCAGGGCTGGGAAGGTGGCTCAGTGGTATAGTGCTTGCCTGGCATGCATGGAGCCCTGGGTTTGATTCCTCAGCACCACCTAGGCAGAAAAAGCCAGAAATAGTGTTGTGGCTCAAGTGGTAGAGCTGAGGGGCAGTGCCCAGGCCCAGAGTTCAGGCCCCATGACCAACAAAAAAAAAAAGGGGGGGTGGGGAGGGCTGGGAAGGTAGCTCAGCGGTAGAGTGCTTGCCTTGCATGCATGAGGCCCTGGGTTCGATTCCTCAGCACCACATAAGCAAAAAGAAAAAAGCCGGAAGTGGTGCTGTGGATCAAATGGTAGAGTGCTAGCCTTGAGCTGAAGAGCTGAGGGATAGCGCCCAGGCCCAGAGTTCAGGCCCCACACCGGACCCAAAAAAAACCAAAAAACCTTATAGAAGCCAGGAGCCAGTGGTTCACACCTGTAATCGTAACTACTCAGGAGGCTAAGATCTGAAGATAGCGGTTCAAAGTCAGCCCAGGCAGGAAAGTCCCTGAAACTCTCATCTCCAATAAACCATCAGAAAACTGGAAGTGGTGCTGTGGCTCAAGTGGTAGAGAGCTAGCCTTGAGCTGAAGAGCTCTGGGACAGTGCTCAAGACCCATCACTGACCAAAAAAAAAAAAAAATTATAGAATTCTCCTAAGCCATAAAGGGCAGGTAATTTGCTTAATTTAAATGTTACGATGAAAAGCTAAGATTTGTTCAAAGGAAGTATCATCAGTGGAAGCTGGATTATGTTATGAGAAAAAATGAATCAAAGATCCTCAGAATTTAAGATAAAGAACATGGAGCCGGCACCAGTGGCTGATACCTGAATCCTAGCTAGTCAGGAGGCTGAGATCTGAGGATCACAGTTCAAAGCCAGCCTGGCAGGAAAGTCTGTGAGACTCTTATCTCCAATAAACCACTAGAAAACTGGAAGTGGTGCTATGGCTCAAGTGGTAGAGCACTTGTCTTAAGCTAAAGAGTGCAGGGACAGCGTTCCTGCCCAGAGTTCAAGCCCACAATGGACAAAAAAAAAAAGTTAAAGAACATGAAATAGGTCTAGTTTTTGGTGAGCAGTATCAATGTGTACAAAAGTAATTTTTGTGACAGAATGTGGGCTTAGTCTAGATGGTTTAAAGTTAAGAATGCTCAGATTTACTGAGCATAAAATGTAAGTAAACTTCAATATTTTTAGAGTACTATACCAGAATCTATGCATTCTGAGTAAGCAGTTTTTCCTGAAGCAGTCTCCTTGAGTCCATATGTCCATGAATACCAGGGATCTACTTTATAATGTAATAAAAAAAAAAAAAAAACCAGCTGCAATGCTGGGCACCAGTGGCTCACATCTGAGATCTGAGGACCATGGTTCAAAGCCAGGCAGGAAAGTCCGAGAGATTCTTATCTCCAATAAACCACTAGAAAACCAGAAGTGGCACAGTGGCTCAAGTGGTAGAGCGCTTGCCTTGAGCTGAAGAGAGTAGGGACAGTGCCCAGGCCCAGAGTTCAAGCCCCACAACCGACAAAAAACAAAAAACAAACAAACAAAAAAAGCCATTTGTATATGCTCAGGACTCCAAAATGTCAAGGTTATAATGTCTATTTGTGCCATGGAAAACCATTTCCTTTGAGACCAATACCCAGCTACTACTTGTTTTTCAGACATCATACATTCCCTTAAGTATTTTTTTACACTTATTTACTTCTGTCTGCAATCAGCTATCATTCCTGTGAGCAGAATTCTCGGTCAGTCTGCCATTACAGTGGCCTTCTAATGCAGCAAACACACGTGGCTATAGTATATTCATTTCATTTCTCAGTATTTCCAAAATGTATATACTCCCAATATAAGCCCAATGGGTTTTCTTAAGCCATTCCTTTTTCTAATCCTAGTACAAATGCCTCACTTAAAATTATTAGGATTGCATACTAGTCAAAGTAAGAAATGGCCATATACAGAAATTTCTGGAGGAAGATTTCTCATATGATAGATAAAATCATTCTCATACAAAGTTATCTGCATTCTAAGAACAGATATTCTACCAAAGAATCAAATCCTTTGAGCCATGATAAAGTAGGTATTTGGCTAAAATAATTAACCTTAAACTTTCAGGGATAATTCCTTTAACGAACTTCTTGTTTTTTCAGCAGACTGACACTAAAGTCACAAACCTTATCTATTGGCATTTTATGTCCCAAAAGACAATGTGTTATGGCCAGTTCGTCTAAAGTACCATTATGTGGCTTTACCATACCACTAACTTAACAAGCTACAATTTGGAAAATTTTCCTAAGTATATTGAATATTTAACTTAAATCCTACTCACTCCTCAAGGTCTAGCTTAAACACCATTTTCATTGATAAATCCGTACACCTGCCCTTTCCCAAATGTCCATTTGCAGGGCTGGGGAGGTGGCTCAGTGGTAGAGCACTTGCCTTGCATACATGAGGCCCTGGGTTCAATTCCTCAGCACCACATAAGCAAAAAGAAAAAAAACCGGAAGTGGTGCCATGGCTCAAGTGGTAGAGCGCTAGCCTTGAGCTGAAGAGCTGAGGGACAGCGCCCAGGCCCAGAGTTCAGGCCCCACGACCAGACCCCTCCCCCCCCCCAAAAAATGTACATTTGCACTTTTCTATTTTGTTTTTCTGAGACAGGGCCCCACTATGCACCCTAGGCAAGCCTCAAAGTCACTATGTAGCCCAGGCTGTCCTTGAACTCACAATCTTCCTTCCTCAGACTTCCAAATGCTGGGATTTTAGGCAACAGCATGCCAGACAGTTTATTATGTATCAGTACACCCTTTGTCAACTCAACTACTATAAGGTAGGAAGGTAAGTTTTAAGACCATCCTGGCAAGCTCAAGTGCTATTTAAAATTGAGAAAGAAAAACAATTACTCTTGGGACCTTAATAGGTATATATCACTTCAGAATTTAGTAAAAGAATGAGTTTGCACCTTTAGTGTCATTAAGGTATCAACTTACTAAACATTAACACTAGCTAGATTTGTTGTTGCTCAGGAATTCTCAAGTGCAGAGAAAACATGGCTCCATATTAAAGCACTGCACAGTAAACATCTCAGAGGGAAAACATTCAAAGGACCATTCAGACTAGCAATGTTCAAAGCATTAACATGCAGGTGGTTCACTTACTCTGACAGCATGAAGAGAAGGGAGGCAGGGAGGAGCGGAAGTTGAGCTAGGTGTCGAGGGAGGAGAGAGAGGTGAGATGTGACCATGTAAACAGCAAGTACTCACTGGTAGAGTTGCCCTGCATCTGAATGATGCACTTGGACTCCTTGCTGGTCTCTCGCGAGTTGAAGGGCCTCACCCGGACAGCCACCTTCACTGAGGCTCCTGACATTCTGATGGCTTTATAATTTGTATGCAGTCCCGAAAAGAAGAATCAAATGTTCTTTTGAAGTTATGCTCCTTTCCTTTAAAAAAAAAAAAGTCCACATAAGGTAATCAGAATTGGAATATAAGGAAATGCAAGCTATTTTAAGCACAAAGAGCTACTATTTCCGTTTGTTTCCATTTGTAAAACCCTCATCCCTCTCTCTCCTATAAATGATCAATTCTAAATAATAAATGATCAACTATCAAGGTCAGAGGGCCTTGAACTCAGGGCCTGGGCACTGTCCCTGAGCTTTTTTTGCTAAGGAAATGCTCTACCACTTTGAGTATTGGCACCACTTCTGGTTGTCTGGTGGTTAATTGGAGATAAGAGTCTCATGGATTCTCCTGACAGTACTGGCTTTGAACCTGAATCCTCAGAACTCAGCCCCATGTAGCTAAGATTACAGGCACGAGTCTACCTCTCTCGGTGAAAACAGCTTTCCAATTATCTCTTTCTTACCTAAAAAGTACCTTAACTGATAATCTTTGAAAAAAATAATAAATAAAATAACATGCTTTACTTTCTTCTTTTTTACTTTGTTTTTTGATCAAACTTCAGTTAATATATGATAAACATGCCCAACACTGGTGGCTCACACTTGTAATTCTAGCTACTCAGGAGGCTGAGATCTGAGGATCATGATTTGAAGCCACCCCAGGCAGTAAAGTCTATAAGACTTATCTCCAAAAAACTACCAAAACAGCTGGAAGTGGAGCTGTGCTCAAGTGATAGAGTGCTTGAGCAAAAAGAAGCTCCAGGACAGCACCCAAGCCCTGAGTTCAAGCCCCAGATCCAGAAACAACAACAACAACAACAAAGGTGCTACAGGAAAAATGTCAACATGTCAGAAGAATAATTTTCCTCTGTACAGAAAAAAATCAACACCATTCTTCTATGGGAGAAATAAAAACCCACGTAAATAATTTCTACAAGAAACAGATCTCCCTCGTCAGGAAGAAATTAATGCTCTATTCCCCATAAAAAAAAACCTCTCCAAGAAGAACCACACAACAGAAAAAGCTCACAAAGAAAAGTATTCAGCAGTCCAATTATCAAGGAAACAAAAGAACTTAAATGTAATCATTTTTCCACATAATTAAGATTAGAAATGGTAATCTTCAAATGCAAAACACTGTCAAGGCTTATTTGGAGGGGAGGGGGAAGGAAAATAAAACCCCCAAAGTCACTACATCTCATTATCTTATCTAATTTTTTTAATATCATCACTATTTTGAAGTTACTGCTTTTTGGGACATCTTTAGTCCACCTCATATTAGTTCAGACTGCTAAGAGAAATCTTGTCTGTGTGCTAGCATTTAGGACAATACTTGGTGCAAAAACTCTAGTGTCTATTCAAGGAAAGAGTTAATGAATTTTATTTTCCAGGTGTGACAATCATCTGTTTAAATTAGTTGATTTGCTGGCTTTTTGTTTCAAGTGATTAAGATATTTTTAACAATCTTTTTTTTTTTTTTGGTCAGTCCTGGGGCTTGAACTTGGGGGGCCTGGGCGCTGCCCTGAGCTCTTTTGCACAAGGCTAGCACTCTAGCACTTTGAACCAAGCTCCACTTCCATTTTTCTGGTGGTTCATTGGAGATAAGAGTCTCACAGACTTTCCTGCCTGGGCTGGCTTTGAACCATGATCAACAGATCTCAGCTTCCTGAGTAGCTAGGATTATAGGCATGAACCATCCCAGCATTAGTTTTTTTATATATGCTCTTTTTTCAGTTTTCACATTAAATGGATAATTCTTTAACATATCAAATATACTTGATATGTTATTTTAATGTTATTTTTAACATATTTTCCAAATAAAAACTTATAGTTATTAACTCTCCCAATTAATGTTGCATGTCTTATATCCTATATGTCAAAAAAGAATAAAGAATTTAGCCAGGCACTGGTGGTGTACTTAGATGGCTGAGATCTGAGGATTGTGGTTCAAAGCCAGCTCTGGAAGGAAAAATCTGTGAGACTCTTATCTCTAATTAACCACCAGAAAACCAGAAGTGGCCTTGTGGCTCCAAGTAGTCGAGGACTAGCCTTGAGCCAAAGAGCTCAAGGACAGCGCCCAGGCCCTGAGTTTAAGCTCCACAACAGATAAATAAGTAAATAAATAAATAAAGTATTTAGAAAAAGCAAGATATGAAAGACACTGCTGGCTGAGGATGTAGCTCAGTGTAGAACACTAGTCCATGTGATTAACATGCACAGGCCATGGGTCTGACCCTCAGCAGTGCAAAAGGGTGGGGAAGGAATTATTGTTCACGCTAACTACTCAGGAAGCTGTGACTGAAGGATCAAAAGTTCAAGCCAAAGTCAGGTGGTTCATGAATGTATGCTTAGCTACTTGGGATGCTGAGATTGGGACAACTAAGGTTCAAGCCCAGCCAGTGCAGGAAACTTCACATGTCCTCTTCTCAATGGAGAACTGGTACTCTGTTTTACCTAAGCTAAGACTAGAAGCCTAACAAAGGTGGACTACACCCAGGCACACTCCTGGGTAATGAAAACCAATCTCAACCAGCAGAAAACAGCTAGAGGTATGGCTCAGTAGTAAGTGTGCCTGCTTAACAATTACAAGGCCCAGAGCTCAAACCCCAGTACTACCAAAAAAAAGAAAATCAAAGTTTAAGGCCAATCAGGGCAACATATTAAGACCTTGTCTCAAAATAAAAAAGCTCAGTGGTGGGGCTGGGAAGGTGGCTCAGTGGTAGAGCGCTTGCCTTGTATGCATGAGGCCCCGGGTTCGATTCCTCAGCACCACATAAGCAGAAAAAGAAAAAAAGCCGGAAGTGGCACAGTGGCTCAAGTGGTAGAGCGCTAGCCTTCAGCTGAAGAGCTGAGGGACAGTGTCCAGGCCCAGAGTTCAGGCCCCACGACCGGACCAAAAAAAAAAAAAGCTCAGTGGTTCTGGGTTCAATCCTCAGTGTTATAAAATCAAAATCAAACCCACCAAAAACCACCAAAGTATTCCTCCAGAGTTTCCTTTGATGTATGGTCAACCATCTCAACTTTTAACAATTCTGTGTGGTCCAGGATGCCCTGGAACTGTTAATCCTCCTGCCTCAACCTTTCAAGGGATGAGATTATAGACATGCACCACTATGCCTGGCTCTAATATTCCCGCTTCTATCATCATTCTCCCAAGTTTCAACATATAAGCCTTGGAATCTTCTTTCCTTACCTTTGAATCCATGTATTAATGTTATTCATGAAAAAACCATAGGAAAACTATCCAGACATAAATTTGCATTTTCTGTTCTTTCCTCTCCCACTCTCTCACAGGCCCTTATTCTAAATCCATGTCCTTACAACCACATGCCTAGAATACTTGTGATGAATGAACTATTCTTTGAGCTTTCAATTTCTGATCCAATAGTTCCAGAGGGCTGCACAAAACAGAATGGGTGGGGGTGGGGTCTCTGGAAAAGCAAATGACTCATCCTAGTTAGAATTCAACAGTTTTTAGTAGGCCCAGCATAAGTTAGATTTTTAGGTTAGGTTAGGGGGTGGGGAGGCTTGTTTTTTCATTTTTCAAAGATTCTGTTGCAGATCCCAAGCCAAAAACCATGGCTTACCCATGCGCCAATGGTGCCTGTTCTTGCACACTTCCTTACTACTTTCCCCTACTTTTCTTACTATGACACTGCCCAAATCCAAGCAGGCCTCTTCCAAAATGTTTTAATCCAAACACTACAGAATGAGTGGTATTTCTACAGGGCTTGTAGTTTCAAATACATTGTGAGATCACTGCATCACATTTCATGACTGTAAACTATCATGCATGGTTCTTTAACAGCTTCTCAAAATGGAAATCCTATTCCTTCAAATATCTCTGAGCTTGGACCCCATGGAAAAAAGCAGCTAATTTTGGGCTGGAATGCATGATTCAAGTAGCTGACTACCTACCTACCAAGCACAAGGCCTTGAAGTCAAATTCCAGTAATGGCACACACAAAAAGAAAGGAAGAAGGGGCTGGGAAGGCAGCTCAGTGGTAGAGCGCTTGCTTTGCATGCATGAGGCCCTGGGTTCGATTCCTCAGCACCACATAAGCAGAAAAAGCTGGAAGTAGCGCTATGGCTCAAGTGGTAGAGCACTTGCCTTGAGCTGAAGAGCTGAGGGACAGCACCCAGGCCCAGAGTTCAGGCCCCATGACTGACCAAAAAAAAAAAAAAAAAAGAAAAGAAGAAGAAGAAGAAGGAAGAGAAGGGGAGTGAGAAAGGGGAAGTGGGGGGAGGGAGAGAGGATAGAGGGACTTGAAATACAGGAAGTTGTATTCATGATGATACTGTAGAAAAATCTCATGTCTAGGCTGAAGGTATAGTTCAGTGGCAAAACACTTGTCTATCATACATGAGGTAGCACACACACAAAGGAAATCCTCAATATTCTAAAAAGTTGTAAATATAAGAACTAAATCTGTATTTGTGTGTATGTCCTATATAAAATTAGTCCTGTATAAAAAACAGTCCATGAGGGTAGGTTTTTCTTTTCAGAAAAATGTCACTAATAAACATGGAAGAAATGAATTCAGATTTTCATCTTTTTCCTACCCTCCTGCTATAAAGGTTTTCTGTCCCAATCCTCACTGGTGACTAAAATGCATGCCACAGAAGGTTGGTTGATAGGGAACTATTATGGATTAGTCTGAAAACACCTGAATCAAATGATGTGTCTGGACATCACTAGAAGCAGGACACTGAAGCAGTGTGTGCCTCCAACAGGAATCATACACTACTTCTTAAATATTCTCGCTTCACTACTTTAAATTAAAAAAAAAAAAAAAAAGTTAGCCAGGAGCCAGTAGCTCATGCCTGCAATCCTAGCTATTCAAGAGGCTGAGATCTGAGAATGTGGTTGGAAGCCAGCCCCAACAGTAAAGTCTATGAGACTCTGATCTCCAATTAATCATCAAAAAAGCCAGAAGTGAAGCTGTGTCTTAAGTGGTAGGCTACAAGCCTTGAGCAAAAAACTTAAGGACAGCACCCAGGGCCTGAGTTCAAGCCCTAAGAAAGGCTCAAAAAAAAAAAAA